AATCGGCTCTAATTATGATGGAAGGAAACAATTTAACATATAGGCAAACCATACTTAAAAGACTAATTAAAAGTATAAAAAAATAAAAAAGTATAGGCAAACCATAGTTAAAAGTATTGAAGTATAATGCTGGATCATCGGCAATATATTTGTCCATTTACATGAAATATGCATTATTCTTTCTTTTTAGTGGCATTGAAAATGGAGAGGCCTACGGGTGTATTGATCTTCAGCGCATCACTATATACACCATACTTCCTCCGACTACTAATTATGAATTTATTACCTCTCTCTCTATAAATATATATATACAAATATAGGGTATAATGATAGATGATCCTAGTACTAATTAAAGTGGATGTATATGAAGACGAGGTGATACACATTAATAACATGGATTGGGAGTAAAAGTGAGATCATTCTTATTCATGTACGAATTGAATATATATATAGAACTTGTTCATATGGAAACGTATATACATAGAGGCAGCAAGACCAAGTAACAATGAATGTTCCTTGTTATGAAACCCTAAATATTAAATAATGGAAATACCTTAATCGTCACATTCGTATATAAATGAATTATATGAAGAAATAAATGATTACTAGTCAAAGGAAGAAAGAACGTACGCTTCCATGTGCCTAATCTGATCGGTGGTGTGGCGATGATACTTCTTCCTCTTCCTCTTGTTGCCCTTGTTTCCTGCACCATCCTCTTCCTCTTGATCCTCCTCACCCTCCAAATTATCCTCTGATCTGGATCTCGTGGGTCCAGAGTTCTCACTGCTCATTTCCACCGTCCGATCTTCATCGTCAGCTACTCTTCGGCCCAGAAAGTCCTCCTCTGGGTTCGTGCTGCCGGAGGATGCATTTCGGAATATCCCAGCCTGTTATACATTTACATATATATAAACAATACAGTAATATGTAAATTTATACAATAATATATATAAACAATACAGTATATCAATCAATTTCTATGATTTGTGGGAGTATAAGTTAAAGAAAGTATACGTACGAGAGAGAGGGAGAGGGCTGGAGAGGAGAAGAAGTCTTTGGTGGGTTGTTTCGATGACATCTCGACGGCCATTGACATACGCTCCGAATCTTAAGTTTGCTTTATCTTCCCTCTCCTCCTTCCTTCTATTTATATTAATCTCATTTTATTATTATTCTTTATTTATTTATTTTATACCAAAATGTACTCTATATTACATATACAGATAAGGCTATATAGGTAAGCTAGCCCTTCCATTCCAATTATATAAACGGTCGGTTTTCAGATATTTATCTAATGCTTGACTTTTAGGTGCTTCATATAATATTATCTTATATAACCCTTAGTTATATATATATATATATGCCTATTTTTTTCATGAATTAGTTTTATAATTATATTCACACTTGCTTACTTTGAAACATGGCCAGCTTATACATCAACTGCAGCCATCGATGGACATTATTTTAGAAATATAAATATTGGATATGTTCTTACTTATGAGAAAATTCGGTCGTGAATCTGGAAAATTATCCTTTTAATTAATATAAACAAAATGTTGGAATTATTTCCGCACCGCACAAACGATTGAAAAAGTTAGGTAGTTGAACATAAGTTTGCCATTATTCATGAATTTTAATCCGTTTAAACTACATAATGACGTTCCTATAAATTACTGTTGACATGGAGAAGGAATGAGAATAAGAGGGTTGCATGATTTAAGGGTATACAAACAAAGACGAACTTCTCTGTCTTTTCTTTAATTGAATTGAATTGTGTGTAGAGAGTAGAGCGAGAAAGACATATGTATATGACAGGTGATTGTTTTAAAATAAATTAATAATAAGGACGAGAGAGAGAGAGAGAGAGAGTTGACTGTTAGATACTGGGATGGACTCAACTAACTTTAAGCACCTAATTCTACAACCGCATTTTCTGCTATTCTACTTTCCTCCTTAATTACCATCATTACTCTTATTATTATGACTTCTATTTCTTTATTGGAGATATGCTAATAGTTCTAGGATTTATAATATGATATCTTCTTTCAAACGACATACAAATAAATTGTGTACGCAGAATGAAACAGTAAATCTCAATATTTTATGCTGGCTCGAAAACAAATCTATATACTCTTTCCATTTTAATATAAATCTCACTTTGATATTTTTCACAGATATTAAAAATATTATATAATAAATTAATATATCTTTTTATAATGCATGATTAGTTAAATAAAATGATTTAAATAAAAATTTGTTAGTTATTCAAAATAGTAAAAGATAAATCTAATATATAAAATTATATTAAAATTGTAGAATGACACTTATTTTGAAAAAGAAAATAAAACTAAAGTAATACAGACAAGTAACTGCGTGAGCATATGACAACCAAAAACGCATTGGTTGAGTGAACAGGATAATATTCGAGTTACATGGAAACCTTAAATGCCTTGTGTTTCGGTAATAATAATAACTTAATTATAATAATGCTAACTATACTAGTACTTCCATAAAACCAAATCTTACATGCTAGTAGAGCGTAGCAGTATTAAACAATAATTAAGACTAGCTAGTTAATGGCAAAGGCAAGAGAATAGTTGTTGAAGAAGTTAGAAAAAGTAAAATAATTTGATGACGTAGGCAGGGAGAAGCAATATCCAACGTAAACAGAACTCGGAGGTCAACGAGAGAGGGCGGCATTGACTGATCGTTACTCATTAATTTCAGCGACCTTAAAAGGAAATGAATGCTCTTTATGGGTTTGCATCCAACTCTTTTCCATTTCTTCCAACCCCTCTTTATTACTTAATCACCATGACACCATACACCACATATATAACGCCACCTAGGTACATGGATGTGATTTAATATTGGACAATTCTTTAAAATAGTATCTTTTGAGTTTTTATCACAAAAATAGACCTCAATAAATAAAATGACCAAAATAACACTTTTTATTTTAAAAATTTAAGTTTTCTTAATTTTTTTTAAATTCGAAACCCTATCCCCAAAACCCCACTCCTTAACTCAAAACAAAAAATTCTAGGATTAGTTAACCCAAGGGGTATAAATGTATATTTAATAAAACATTTAAGTGTTATTTTGGTCATTTTAAATGTTAAGGTCTATATTTGTGATAAAAAACTTTTTAGGTCTATTTTAGTCATTTTCTCTTTAATATTTGACATTTTAATTTTCAGTATTGTTATATCAAACGAATATTTTCATTATTGTTATATCAAACGAAAATAATTATATATATACACTAAAACCTCTATATATTAATAACTAGATTTTGACCCGCGCTTGAAAGCGCGGAAATTTGTTATGATTAAAAATTTATATAATTGGGTTTTGTCTTAGTTTAAAGAATATTTTGATATAAAATCAGTTCACCAAAATTTGTGGTGATGATTATTTTTCATTAGTTTTTAGTTTCAGTTTTTATTTTTAGATTTTGGTTTTTTGTTTTTAGTTTTTAAGTTTCTACTTTTCATTTTTAGTTTTTGGTTTGAGCTTTTAATTTTTAAACCCGCTAAGTTAGTTTGAACTAATATTACCAACAAACAAATCTCAAATAATCGAACATCTAATTCAAAACTGAAAAGATGACAACAAATTAAAAAAAAAATTGAAATAGTTTATTTTGTAAAAAAACAAAGCAAAAAATATAACATGTGTTTTCAGCTTTTGGTTTTGGGATTTAGTTTTTAGATTTGGTTTTTAGTTTTGCTTTTTTTAATCAGTAAATTATTTAAGAAAAATAAAATAATAAATTATTTAAAAGTTATCATTGAAATTTATCAAAACAAAGTGATTGTTATTTAGAATAAAAAAAAATATTAACATGTTTTAAAGTACATGATTTAAATAAATGATTAATAATAGATAATTTTGTTTTGTTAAAAATATTAAATTCCTTTTGGGTCTGAAAATAATAATTGATTTTTTGATCTTTTAAGGTGAAAAGTTTATTCAATGTTTTTAGAGTTTTTTTCTTAATACTAAGCTCAAAAACCAAACTATATAATTTGTTCAAAAAATAAAAGTAAGCCCAAGACTATATTCCATAAATAACCACTGATTTAATTTAAATATAATTAGTAGATTTCCATATTCCATATTTTGATGATATATATTCTTTTACAACATTCCATATTTGTAGGAGAAAATATGTGTTTTCGGTATACACATAGATATCTGCCATATTTTGAAGGTAATTTACATTAAGGTCGTTTCTTTACATTAATTGTGTTGGTTTAGTTTAAGTAATACGGTTCAATCATTTATATGACTTATATTATTTGTAACATTTTAGAAAGTGTCCAAATTTAAATGATAACTTGTATCAGTAGATAAAAATAATGACTCTGTTTTAATATAGTAGATAGATATTGGAACTATACCAAAACTATAATTTTTATTAATTTATAGAGATTATTAATTTATCAATATACTAATTGAACCAAAAACTCAATTTGAGACTATAAAATTATATTGTTTTATAGAGATTTTTATTGTCTATTAATTTATAAAATATTAATTTAAAGAGGTTATATTATATATATATAAATTCAAAATACTTTTTTGTATATACATGTTCTTGCAACTGGAAATATTCAAATTGTAATATATATGTGATCTCCATGAGATATCATAAAGATTATATATGTTTTTTTTTTGAGAAAGGGCTTAAGATTTTATATGTTCTTGTAACTATCGTTCAAGTTCTCAAAAAAAAAGTCTATCGTTCGAATAAAGGAGAGTTTGTCGTAAATCAAAATTCTATGCATATGAGTACGTTAATGGAGAAATATGTAGAGAAGGAAACATTCTAAAAAGATAATCAAAAATAAAAATTTATTGAATGGATCATTTACATTAATTTATATGTATATATAGTGTAGATATCATTAAGATGAATCAACAATTTTTCAAAGCTTTTACGAGATTATGGTTTTCTTCTTCTTCTTCTACTATTCTGTGTTAGTCGTACGGCGATGAAATTGTTAGTTAGGAAAGGTAGATAGCAAATGTATAGAGGGATGCAACCATAACGCTTACGTTCACCACATGCTCTTTAATTAATTAATTAATTAATGCCTAACCTTATTCGCTACATCTAATATTAATTGTTAAATATTGCCTCTAGATTCCTTTTTCACATTTTCGTTCCTTTTTGCTGCTTTCCTCTCTCTAATACTTTCAATTACTTCTTAGGATTTTGGGCAAATGTTTCCCTTTCTACGATAAATCTCTTACCCATGTTGGCAAATCCAAAACCAATCCGTTTTCTTAATAGGGGTTTCTTTTTTCAGGTCGAACGACGGCAACTAACTTCGGAAGTGTACGTAGGGACTACCGAATTAATTATGACGAGCTTATAATTTGGTTCCAAGATACAACTGACTATTTCTCTCTCTCTCTCTCTCCTTTGTTGTTTGGTTTTTGTAGCTGACTATCATTTTTCATTTACAACCTTACAAATAACTACTAGCTAGAAAGATAATTGACCCACCAAAATGGAATATGATCTCACTGAGCACATTGAGTGTACACACGTGTGAGGAGGGAGCTGACAAAGAGTGAGGAGTGAGGAAGGCTTGCTCCATATAATTATTAGTACTACAATGCTACAATGCATCTGATTCACTTTTATACAGATGACATTTCATGTATATTTATATATGTCGTACGTTCCTAATATTATAAATACTTCCAACCACAAGACAAAAGATGGACAGTTAGTTGCGGACAATCAGATGAATGGATACGGCCAATTTGTGAAGTAAAACGGTATGAAATGACTTATTTCTATAGATTTAAAAAAAAAAATTAATGGAATAAAGACCAAATCTCATTTCAACGATTTTTTGTGTGGATATATAGATAAATAGAATATAATCATAAGATATTCAGGATTAAGAAAACTCATGATAAAATGAAGTGAAATGACATAGAATGGAATTACTTTTTCTAATTTCATAAATTTGCGTCCCATTTTCAGTCATTTTATTCATGAAATCCTTATAGTTACAGCCTAAAAAGATATGATCCTGTGAGATAGCTAGCTAGTAGTACGACCCATATATTTATTTGGATAAACCATAAGTTAGATCTCGCACATTTTGCCTTAGGTAGGAAACTTGCATTGAAAACATTTTGCTTTAGGTAGGAAACTTGCATTGAAAAAGAAGAAAAAAATTTTTTCACAAAAAAGAAGAAGGAAAATATCTTACACACTGATAAAAATGTCGACCAATCAAGCTTTTTGTTTTAACAAAAAAACTACAGCCAACGAATCTCTAAAAAAAGTATTTGTAATAAACTTTATTTCCAGAGGAAAAAAATAGTGATCTACAAAGCTACAGTAAAATAATCTAAATCAAATAAATTGACAACTTAAATTCTAGGGACAATTGCACAAATACCATTTGTTTGATACCATTATTCAATTTTACCACCAATCAAGAGACATTTTCATAAATACACACATTCATTAATATCAAAAGACAATGTTACCCTTGATCTATCTTCTCTTCAATTCGATTCTTCTCTCGGCTAGATCTGCCTTCTCTCTGTCTCATGCAATGGCGACGAAGGAGACTGTTCAGGAGTGCGTGTCGGAGTTCATAAGTTTCATCACGGGAGAAGCGTCGGATAAGTGTCAGAAGGAGAAGAGGAAGACGATCAACGGCGACGATTTACTTTGGGCGATGACGACGTTAGGGTTCGAGGATTATGTGGAGCCATTGAAGGTTTATTTGCAGAAGTATACAGAGGTGGAAGGGGAGAGGATGGCGACGACTACAGGGAGAGGCGATAAGGAAGGTTGAGGAGGGATGTACAGGATGGGGCATCATTATCAAGGACACGTGTACGGTTGAAGTGGGATGAATTAGAGAATGAGACCGTTGACTCCGTTAATTCGAGATAGCTTTCAAAGCCTTAGATTCACTATATGCCAATGTAAATGTCTTTTGCTGTGCTTCTTATGCAAAACTTGTGTACTCTGCTTTGGGTTGATTCTTCTCTGTTTTTGATCAGAGCGCCATTCATGTTGTAACAAGTGTTTGATGATTCTATATCATGTACAAATTATTTACATAAAAAGTTGTTGTATTATCATTAGAAGAAGCTGTTGTATTATCTTTGTGTGTGTTTTTTGCAGATGGATTATGTGGCTGTTTTGACCATGGCTTCTAAGTATAGTCATAGAGGAGATGCTCGCTGAAACATCCCAAGTTTGTAAAGTGGAAGTCACTCACCTTCTGAGACACCATCTCAGTTTCTTGTCTTTGTTACATCTTTTTTGAATTTGTTTTTGTTGGAGCTCAGAGACTTCTAAAACAATCACGGTCCAATCTTGAAAAGAAATGTTTGCAAGGGTAGCTACAGTCAGTGGCTCATCTGTCTCATCAGTGAATTATATCACAAGCGAACCACCATCGGCTACGTCAGACAGCATAGAGAGGTCGAAGCTACACTGTTTAAGGGTCGCCTGTACTCATAAACCCGTCTACAAGGCTACAGGCTAGGTTGCAAAGGACATGAAAAGGTTGAGAGTTGAGAAGAAGTACATGAAGCAACCAACACATGTACAAGAGAATTTGTGGATGTTACAGTAAAATTTATGAGATCCTTACTGTGTACTTGGTTTATTTTGCTTTTGTACTGTAAGTTCGTGATTCAGGATATAACAAATTTCCCTAATTCTTATCAAATTCCATGCTTAATCTTTGAAGTTTTTTGCAATTCAAAGTTGTACTCACTTTTTTAATTTGGAATGTGTATTCTGAGAAGCTCTGTTCGTTGGAAACTTTTATTACACGTGAAGGGATTATTCAAGTGCCATACACCACTAAGTTACAAAACCATATTGGATCATATAAAGCATGTTGGAGATGTTCTGAATGTCTTGATAAGAAAGTATGTCTGGCTCTGAGTTCCAGAAGCTCATAGGTGAGAGAAGTCTCAGGCTCCTGTAGAAGACCACAAGTACTTGGATCCAGTCAGAGAACGATGCACAGTGTGTACAGGTGAGTCTCCAGCACTTTACCCAAAGCCTACACTGTACATTGCCATGCGATTGGTCCACGAAGGCTGGCCTAGGGGTGATCTCCCATTTTGTTTCCGGGACTCGGCAAACAGATAAATTTATGAATCTCCCCTGTAGGCTTCACATACATGATCCAGCGTCCCAGTGAAGGTATTAACTGAACCATGTACTGTCTCTTATCCACAGCATTAGCAACATCATTGGCAGTGAAAATTCATGAATATATGTTCATCATCTTAGGATTCTCTATAATCTTACCCAGCCTCGACAATAATTCAGAAGGAAAGTACCCTGCAAACGTTGACTCTTGAGCTAACTCTTTTAGTTTCATGTAAATCTCTTCTGATTGAAGATGTGACTTTTCTCCACAAACAAACTCATGAGCACCACCGTTTACTAGAATCAAACTACACCCTGGTATCTTCTTGGTTGCTATGTCCACCATCTTTCTTCTCACTTCTCGCAANATGTGATCTCAGCTCGAGTTGGAAGACCATTGACAAGCAATTCAAATAACCTGCTTTGTAGCTCCCATAAGTTTTGTTTTCAAGTCATCACAACATGTTAAAAATGTTTATAATGGTTTATAAGAATTTAAAAGGGTTTACAAAATCACTTACATGTGCTTATAAAGATTTTATATAGAATTTATAAGGGTTTATAAAGTTTATAAAGGGTTTAAATAAGTTTATTAAAAGTTTATATAAGATTTGTTAGGGTTTATAAAAAGGTTTTGAAGAGTTTATATAGGGTTTATAAAAAAAAGTTTATAAAACCTTAAAAATATTTATATAACTATTTATAAGGGTTTATAAAACCATTTAAAAGGGTGTATAAAACTATTTGCAAGAACTTATACGCTATTTATAAGAGTTTATACATATATTTATAAATGTTTATAAATAATTTACAAGGTTTATAAATCTATTTATAAGAGTTTATAAATCACCAAATTAACCAATTTTCCACCATTTCTTTGATTATTTAAGAACATCATTCTTTTACAGTTCATTTTATCTATTCTATTAAAATAGAATCCTAAATTTTATCTACTTAAAAAAATTGTCATTGTGTTAACTACGATGGACCATTTCAGTATATAATTTGACGCTACATAGTAAATACAATCAGGCAACTTAAATTAAACCAAACATCTAATCCATTAAACCAAAACCGATCTCTTAAAGAAAAATTAAATATACTCTATTAAACCGAAGTGTTTCTACTATTAGCTTAAAAATACAAAAACTCTAATTAAAGTATTTGTAAGAGTCTTTAAACCATTTATAAATATTTATAAAACAATTAATAAAATATATAAACCATTAATAAAAACGTTATGAAAAATTATAAACAAATATAAAGGGTATGCATACAATTTACAAGGTTTATTGGTTTATGAATCACTTAGAAAGTCTCTTGAATCATTTATAAGAGGCTATAACAATTTATAAAGACTTATAAAAACAATTTGTAAGAGTTTGTAAAATAATTTTTATAAGGATATATAAATAATTAATAAGAGTTTATAAATTATTTATAAACTTTTATCAATTTTTTTATAAATTTTATAAACCTTTTATAAAGGTTTAAAAATTATTTGTAAGAGTCTATAAGCCCATCTATAAAGGCTTATAAAACAATTTATAAAGTATATAAACAATTTATAAAGTATATAAAAAAATTTATAAATGTTTATTACAAAAACTATAAAAGTTTAAAAATAATTTATAAGGGGTATGTATATAATTTATAAGGTTTATAGAGGTATATACAGGTTTAGAAATCAATTGGATATCTTAAATCAATTATAGTATATAACCATTTAGTTTATAAACCTTTACAAATCAGTTTACAAACCTTATAAATGATTTTATAAACCCTAATAAATGCTTTTATAAACCCTTATAATTAGTTATATTTTTTTATAAATAAATTTATAAGCCTTTCTAAATTAGTTTATAATCATTGTATATGTCACTTATAATCATAGTTCAATAATTAGATATCAAATGGCAGAAAAACCTTGTATGAATATTTATAAAGTTTATAAAACACTTATAACTATTTATAAAGGTTTATAAAACTATTTATAAGTGTTTATAAAACTATGTACAAGTACGTATACCTATAGCCATAATGCTCACAAAATGTCCAAAAGGTTCAGAGAGCAATTAAAAGGTCCCTAAATCATTTAAAATAATCTATAACCATTTAGAAAGGGTTATAAATTTATAATGGTTTTGTAAAAATTCTTAAAATTTTTTATAAATTATTTATAATGGTTTCTAAATCATTTATAATGGTTTATAAACTAAATCAATTATAAAGTCTAAATCAATTATTTATAATGGTTTCTAAATCAATTATTTATAATGGTTTCTAAATCATTTATAATGGTTTCTAAATCATTATAAAGTCTAAATCAATTATTTATAATGGCTTCTAAATCATTTATAATGGTTTCTAAATCAATTATAATGATTTATAATGGTTTCTAAATCATTTATAATGGTTTCTAAATTATTTATAATGGTTTCTAAATCAATTATAAAGTCTTAAAACATTTTAAAGGCTTATAAATCATTTATAAGAGTTTATAAATCATTTATAAAGGTTTATAAATTATTTATAATGGTTTCTAAATCAATTATAATGGTTTATAATGGTTTCTAAATCATTTATAATGGTATCTAAATTATTTATAATGGTTTCTAAATCAATTCTAAAGTCTTAAAACATTTTATAAAGGCTTATAAATCATTTATAAGAGTTTATAAATCATTCATAAAGGTTTATAAATTATTTATAATGGTTTCTAAATCATTTATAATGGTTTATAGATCATTTATAAATATTTATAAAATCACTTGTAAATTATTATTAGGTTTTTATAAGGCTTTATAAATTATAAACATTATTTTAAAAGTTTATAAATTATATATAAGACTCATTTTAAATATTTATAATGGATTTATAAATCAATACAAAATGATGTATTAACATTTATAGCATAGTAAAATATTTTAGAAGATTTAAAACTCTTACAAATAATTTATAAGCCTTTATNTGAAAACAAGTCATAAGATTATTATATGGAACAAATCAACATGTATCTACAAGTCATCAGGGTACAGAGAATTCAAGGCCATTGCAAACTCCCTAAAGGCAGGGTAAAAGATGAGACAGACGCAACAGTACATCAGCCCTAATGGGAAAGTTTATATAGAAAATAAAAACGGAACCATATTGTTTAAACATACCACAGCATCTGCGACTTCTCAAAATCACCACGATTGTATGCGCTGCGAGCAAGAGCACGCTACAAGATAAGAGAGATAATTAGAGCGTGGACTGAGAGAGGAGATATAAGATTATTTGATTTATATGTCTCAAAGTAAGTACCTTAGCACGAACTGACTTATCATTTGAAACCTCCAGGGCATGTTCATAACAGGAGTCATTAATCGTAACATCACCAAGTGAACACCTGAGATCAATAATAACTTTGTAATATAAACAAAGGTTATACACTAGTGGTACCAATAAAGATTTATATATACCATAATCTTGGATCATTTGGCCTTTCCAAAAGCTGCGCATTGATGAGATCCACTGCTGCTGATTTCTTACCTAGAAAGCTGAAGTTCCACATCGCATAATAAGCTTAGCGACATAACATAAAAATCCATATTGGAAAGGGAAAAAAACAATTGAAGCTTAGTTTACCAGTAGCAGTGAATTAGATTATCCCACAACTCCAAGCTTTCAAATATA